ATTTTGTAAAATATTTTTTATGTTTTTGTTAAAGAAATAACTCATCAAAGTTGCAATATAGAAGATGAAGTAATTTTTTCATAATTTTTGTTAATGAAGGCCAAATGTAACTTTGACCACATAAGCGAGAATAGTCTGTAAAAAGTGCTAAACATAATATAATTATTCAACCAATTATATATTTTGGTATCAAAAATATCATATAATTTTATCAATAAATTATCTATAGTTGTTTTAAATATATACATTTAAAAAGTAAATATAGTTTTTTTTCCTAATTTAAATAACTAATATATAAAAGAAATTTTTAAAAAATTAGAAAAAAATTCAAAAAAAAGATAAAATTTATCAACCTTTATACTTAAGAAGTAGACATGAAATATTTTAAGATATAAAAATAATAAAAAATTATACATATCTATATATATATATATATATTAATAATTTCATCACAATTATCCTATTGCCACTACAACCCGCCATCTACTCTAAAACTATATAGTTTTTATTCTTTTTAATCTAATTTTATGTTAATTTTTTATAAATAAATAATAATTTATTGAAAAAAAATATTCATAAAACTTGAATAAAAATTAAAATTTTTTAAATTAAAATTTCAATCATTTTTAGTTATTTTTAAAATAACTTTATCTTTAAACTTATACAAGATGGTTACTTTTGCTTACCTATCAGACCTGGCCACACATTAGTCTAAAAATAATTCTAAAGTAATTTTAATAGCTTAAGAGTATTTTTGGTCTTATATAATTTATATGCTATTATTTAACTATAAATAGTAATTGTGAGATATTCTTTTATAAGTTTGAAAGAGATGTTTTTCATTTATATCTAAAAAGAAAGATCCTTCAAGAAGAAAATGATTCTTTTGTAAAAAAAGTTAACTTTACTATAAATTTATAATTTATTTCAATTTACCATACTTTAGCAAAAATCAGTCATAGAATATATAAGCTTTCCAACTGGATATTTTGGTTGGTTGTTTAGTAAAATTATTTTGATTGAAAATTTATATATATATATATATATATATATATACATAATTTATTTATATATACACATTTAAATACACACACATCTATATTTTAATCACCTTTAGAGAATTCAAACAATATTTTTGATTAAATTAATATTTGTTCCACCTTAAAATTTTGAATTAAAAATATGAATGTTTGTATAAATTCAAAACTCGACATGTCTCTATAACTAGTATTAATTCAACAATTACAATTGATAAATAATTCTATGTGTCTTAATGTTTTTGAGATTCACTCATAGATTTTAATTTTAATACATATCTATAATTCCATAACACCAAAAACACTCACACTCTTGGAATGATGGAAACAAGGGCACGGTTGCCCACCAAACTAATAGAAGTCAAACCCAATTGAAGTCACAACATCCACTTTGCCCTCCTGCACCCCCTTCCACTCCAACACCATCAAAGTTGCACATATTTTTGTTCTTTGTAGTTCTATCACCATGGGTCCCATGAGATGGAACCTGACAGCAAGCTAAGGTAAAGACCTGCCCTCTCAAATCCACATTATCACCCAAAGGTGGATATGAGCTAACTTGAGAGGGTTATTGTGCACGAATAAGAGGTTTGGGGGGTAGAGCTCCATTTAAGAGCACGGTCTCTTTCTTGTCAAATTAGGTGCATAGTAGGAGAATACAATAGAAGAATGAAGAGGGAGGAGGGATGGAAGGGAAGAGTGGAGTAGAGTTGACGACTCGCTTTTATGACAACTCGCTTTGTCTTTTGCTGTAGAAAGCCGACATATGGTGTTGGTGAAGGGCCTGGCTGGCCACACCTCCACAAAATTGTTTGTGTATGGGGGGAGATCCAAGGTGCTCATGGCTACTCCCAACTACGTGTCCACTTTGCTCTTGTGCCACGTCTCTTGTTCAAAATTTCCAACAACTCCTAATTTTACATGAAGAAAAGTTATGTACAAAAAACTAGAAAGATGAAATAATAATAATAATAATAATAATAATAATATTTGTGCTCATTTTTGCAAGGGATGACAGCCTACCATAGTTGATGCGCACACACATTTAGTTATCATCTTGCCCATGTGGGTTGTCTACTTCCTTCTGTTTACCCCCCCCCCTCCTTTTTTTTTTTTTTTTTTTTTTTGGTTGGTTTTGTTTTCCTTTGTCTTCTTTATCTTGTAGTGTTTCTCTATTGTGGCCGTGACCTCAGGCTAAGCTTTCAATTTCTATTTGCTTTAATTTTCCCTCCCTTTGTGTTATTCTTCCCTGGTATGAATGCAAAGCTTTTCTTCTCCTTCACCTCCATTCATTTATTTATTTTGATTTGATTATTCAGGTAATTGGGTACGTGGGTGGGTGTTTTTGTATTTTTTTCTGTATTTTATTTAGTTAATTAGTTATTTTTCTCACAGCCAGGGTGTTGCTGTTGGGTTATCATTTTTGACACTGGAATGAAGTAGGTGGCCATAATTTTGATTGCTCATGTGAAGGCCAGGAAAGGGCCCCACAGTATAGCCTTGAGGAAAATGGATGAATGAATTGAATAAATAGATGGGTGGGTGGGGGGTGGTACCAAAGCAGAGTCAAACATTGAACAGCAGGCCAGATGATTGGAATGTGGGTGCACAAAAGGATACCTTTTCACACACTCATTTAATTATTCTCATTTTATTTTATTTACTTTTTCTCATTATTTACTTTCTCATGTTTGCTGCTTTCTCTTCCCATTTTCTGAGACCAGAAGAATGAAAGCAAATATTTTCTGTTCCGTGCCCTTTCACTTTGACTAATACATTTATTATTTTTTCCCCAACTCTTACGACAGTCTTAATTCTAACCACCCACCCTTCAAAAAAGAGTCTCAAATTCTTGATGCCACCCTCTCCTCCTATGTAGAAAAATGATAACCCACCCCACGGTTCAGTAATGTCAGTGGTGGAGTAAAATAATAATAATCATAATAATTATAATAACAGCTTCTGGCACTAGGAAAAAATTAAAAAGTTAAAAAAAAATAATTAAAAACTGGGGAATTGCAGTGCAGAAGAGAGGCTGGCTGGCAATTGGTGTACATGTGAAAGCTTTCACTAAGGTTGGCTTAATTCATGTGCATTTTCTTTAAATCCCTTCTCAAATGCACCTGACAAAATAAAACATATTGCTTCTAGGTGGAATAGTTTCATGAATTCCTACCTATCACAGTACTTCCAGCACTCAAATCAGTAAACATATATATACATATATATACATATATATACATATATATATGCTTGGAGAACCAATGTTTCATGTGACTTTATTGTCTTTATTTATTTATTTTTCTTGTTTTAGAATGGCTTTTACTTGTGTTGAATGAGCTGACAAAGCTCATTGTTAGTCGTGAGAGGTAAAAGTGCATAATTTTAATATATATATATATATATATATATATCTGTGTGTGTGTGTTTGTGAGTTTTGTACAAATGAAGACAGCACAAATACAAACATGTGTGTTGTCATTGAATCCATAAGTAATATGGTAAATTATGTCAAAATGTCTATATATCTCTCTATTTATATGTATATATATATATATATATACACACACACAAATCTTTTGGTGGTAGGAGGGGGAGGTTGGGGGGTATGGCCTTGTAGGTATTCATTTATGTCAAAAAATATCAAAATAATTGAAACCACTCTGAATAAAGGTACAGTTTCCTAGTGTAAATCTCGACAAAGATATTATTACATTACATGGCAACTCTGTAATACAAAGTTACTTTGAATAAATAAATAAATTCTCAGTAATCTTGAAATATTGAAACATGTCATTTAAAAATCATTTGTTTGTGCCATGTATGCTGGAATCTGCAAAAGTCAAACAAATAAATATAATTAAACACAGTACATTAGAGCTGCATACATATTTTGTTGAAACCAACTAAGCCCTTGAGTATCAACATACTTACTCTTTAACTCATTATAAATGTTAGCTTCTGATTCCTAAATGAATACTGTACATAGTACATTGTGTGGTATTTGCCATTGAACCTATTGTGAATACAAACCTTGTATTCTCATTTAGTAAAAATGATTTTGCTCCTAATTGTACTATTTCAGCATTGTCTATGGTGATGAGGTGCATATTGATGCATATTGAATTTCATTATTCTAGGTGTTATTGGAGGTGATGAAGCTCTGTAACTTCATCATTTTAAAATCATTCAAGTATTATTCAGCTTTTGAAACCCTCTTCATTAATTTTTTGTAATGTTGAGCACATTACATCAAACATGTTATTTTTTAAGAGATTATCATTTAAGTGTGTCAAAGACATGTGCTTCATTTTTGTGCATACTGACAGTCTTCTTTTAGTGCCAGAATTTGATGGAGTTTCTATCAAGGTATTAGTGAAGAGTGGCAGTAAAGTATATTACAGATGTTTTTCACTCCATACTTAACGTCACCGACGATTTCAGTATAAATCTGTGATGTAAAATCATGGTTATGAGATAGCACAGATTGGAGACATCAACTTGATAGTAATACCTCAACTTGTTCAATTGAGGTATGCAAGCAACACACTTTGAAGTTTAACAAATACCGTTTTGTTCATTCAGTGGTTGGCAAAATTGATGGGGCATTTATCAAGCACCAGGTTCTAATCAAATCTTGGGTAAAAAGACAGTGATGATGCTAAGAGCGTACCAAGCTAGAGGGAACAAGGAACGAAGTTTGGATTGCTATAGAAAAATTGCAATACTTGTCTCTTTCACCAAATATGGGACGACAATGCATGTTTAGCCAAACATCAGAATTCATTAGATATGTATTCGTAGCAATTGACTACAAATACACAACAATTACTTCACAAAAATAACAGTAACAACTGTTGCATATTTGTAGCAATTACTTAACGATATTTACAATAACAATATCCTGTACTGCAGTGCTCCTGAGAGCTGCCTTTTAACAAAGGTAGAATAATGAGGATGCAATTCAAATGAAAAAGCTGACGGAATGATTTGCGGAAGAGGTTTGTTTGATGATATAAAGAGAAGTTCACATTTGTGTATCCTGTTCCATTTTTTAAACAAAAATGAAGCACATGTCTTTGACATACTCAAATAAAATTTTCTTACCGGAAAAAAATACCCTAAAGACCATTTTGAACTATACAGCTACTGGTTCAGCTGCCTTCTCTGACACCACTGCGTGATCTTCAAGCTGCAAGAACCCGAAACAGTAATACGTGAAAAATTAGTAATCAAATTGAACCTCCTATTCGCAGCACCTATAAAATCACGAACATTTGCCACGACTTTCAAGGTACCGCATCATTGAGAAGACTGTTGATTTAATAATCATTTAATCATCCTATTCATTCCACGCAACTGTGTAGGGGACTTCTTAAAAAACCAGCAGTTGGTTTTGACCCAGTTATGAAAATTACGTGAGCAGACTTGAACAGCTCATCCAAAACTTCGGATAAGGTGGGGTGAGCGTGCACAGCAAATTTGATGTCCTGTAAAATGAATCACCGAAATCACGTAAGCATCGGCACTGACGGTACAGTGTGAGGATTTCGAGGAAAAGTGTACAAAAAGAAGACTGTTAGGATGGAAAACCACAAACGAAAGCTCGCCCATACTCCATACGGAAAGGACCGGCACAAGCTTGTTCTCACCTTAATGGTATTGCCCATAGCTATAGCATTTGAAGCTTCATGAATGAGATCAGCAGCGTGAAGACCGAGGATATGTACCCCTAAAATCTCTCCAGTGTCGGGTCTATAAATCATCTGCCAACCATTGCGATTATGCATTAGCATTCTGCATCACGAATAACTATTCTCACGTACTACAGATGTCCAATACGAGTAGCTGCTGCGTTTCATGAGTTAAAGAGTTCCATATTGAACTACGCCATACCAACTATGTTCTCCAATCAAACCGCTGTTATAAGCTAAGAGATAATGACATGAATTCTAGGTTACCAAGAGATAATCTACATCACATGGTTAGTTTGCTTAGTCAGGATCGACCACTGTCATGGCCGCCCTGGGTTAGTCTAAAAAATAACAGGCACAACCAGAGAGTAAAAGATATTCGAGCATTCATACCTTGGCTAATCCATCACCCTCGTTTTCAGCTAGTGCCTTGGTATTGGCTTTGAAGCTGGTCTTGGCAACGCTTACTTTGAATCCCTCCTTTTCAGCTAGTGCTCGTGCTTGAGGCTGTCATGAAATGCTCAGAAATTAAGAAACTTCACTTCTGTACGATGCGATCTATTACAGCTGATCTCCACGTGAAAAAACTCTTGAAATATTCTAAGCGGTAAAACCTCACAAATATAGAATTGTAAGCAGTGACCCAAACCATCACCTCAGTAAGTCCAACCATGCTGATTTCAGGGTGTGTGAAACAAGCTGCTGGAACGCTGTTATGATTCAGAACATTATCTCGCCCAGCAATCTGCTCAATGACTGTAAAAGAAAGTCATTAACTCGGTAAGGACTTCAAACTAAAATATCATAAAATTTATCAATTGCGTGGAACCATCGAATAGCTTTGAAGCATTGGAGCATTGAGGATAAAAATCAATAAATATATAAATAAATACTTCATTTATTTGTCTTAGAGCCAATTGACATACCAGAGATGCCTTGGGCACTAGCTGCATGTGCTAACATCATTTTCCCATTGGCGTCACCAATACAATAAAGATTCGGAACCTGTATCACCGTTACAACACAGGCAGACAGGTTTTAATAACTTTCTTGGTAGACACCAACTGCCCCGTTCAGTCATCTAGTAGAGTTAGAATTACTAATGCTCAGACATAGACACACCACAAAAGCCAATACGAGTGCCGTGGAAAAGGTCAACTGCCGCAACAATGAAAGCATGAAGCTCTTAAATGACGATAATTTCATAGAGAAAAAAATTTCAGTCCATTTCATGCTGAAAATGCTTTCACGAACTTAATAACATTATTAATTTATTGCATCGAAATCACTCAGCTGACAGAACTGGTAGTAAACTGCAACACCCTCAGCATCTTATTTATTTGTGCCTAGTATCACATGTCATGACTGAAACTAATTATACAATTATTGTCTTGTTTCTCACCTCACATTTACTGTTGGCTATATGAACTTGAGAGGTATTTTAAACATTTTCAAAACGTATGAAAACATAAATACACTCACCTTGTTTCCCTCCCCGTCCAGCACTTGCATTCGCTCGTCCACAGGTACAAAACCCCTTTGCGTAACTACGTTCACCTGCCACATAAGGTTTTCAACTAGAACGATAAATATAAGCATGGCGGCCGATAACAACTAGCAAAAGTTCGTACATATTCAGTTCGTTAAACCAATGTTCATAAAAAGTGGTTAAATAGAGGGGTTACATTTTCAAGTCCTAGGCCTTTAGTGAATGGCGCACGTCCTGTGGCGATGAGTGCAGCATCCACCTGCATAATAGAATTTGTGACTACTCAGAACTTTGTCACAAAACAAGTAACCAAAATTGAACATGGAATTAAATACACGCAGATTCAATACACAACGATTACCTCGAGGGTCTCCTTCGGCTCCTTAGTCTTTGTGTCCACTAGTTCAATCAAAACTGGCTTTCCGTCCTTTGCTGGCGTGATCTGTAACATAAGAGTGGCATACCAATTCACCTCTACCTATTAAACAAACGTAGGAACATTCACTAGCCATATTGATCAGTGCATCCATTCACGACACACAATAGGAGGTTTAGAAGCATATCCGAAAGCAGAACAATTTACAGCAGATATGTCTTCACGACAAGAAATCTTTACCTTCTTAGCCAAAACACCGACATGATAATCAATTTTGCGAGGGTTAATCAAAATTCTTTGAGCAAGCTTGCCGATCTCAGGATCAAACCCTGGCATCAAACCGTCAAGAGCTTCTATGAATGTCACCTGCCGGGCACGAAAAGAGGTCAACTTGTGAGTCCATACAAGTGATGAAGATATACGACAAAGTGAAAAAATAGAATAAAATAAAAATGCTCCTAGACCGTGAGACAAACGGTTACTGACCTCGCTTCCGAGAGCTGTGTATACATCACTGAACTCTAGACCAATGTAACCGCTGCCAACGATCGCAATCCAGTCTGGAATCCACTCTAACTTCAAAGCGTGATCACTTGTAAAAACGGTCTTTCCTGCATAACCAGGTTTTTGAGTAAGCATCAAGTTCACTTCAAAAACAGTGCTGCAGCTATATCGTTCAGAACATGGGCAACACCTACATAATTTTTCCTAGCCAAACACTAGACAAGGCCATGTTTTAAGGGTTACCCGCAATCTTTGAGTTACAGAATTGACAGTAAAACTGCACTCAGGTTGCTATCTTACGTAGTAGAAACTTTACGTACCAAGAAATGATGCAACAACCTATACTACAACCTGCAGCACTTACCGTCTATTTCAATTCCTGGAGGAACAAATGGAACCGATCCAGTGGCAATAATGATGTTACATGCTGTGATGGTTTTATCAGCAAATCCAATCCTTCCATACTTAACAACCTGGGGAGCCTGTGTGCAGATCACGCAGCAGTCAGACATCCCGTCATCAGAGTCGATCTTCAAGCATGAGTAGTCCCTTACTGAAGTAGTAACTTTTGTGAGACAATAAGGGATTGCACCGGAGAAACTGGCACCAGAAGGTGCAAGTGAAAAAAAACGGAAAAAAACAAACACGTCTTCGTGCACTTCGAGACGGGCACTCTACTGCACAATGGTACACTACTGCTGGGAATTCTCTCGTCACCAAACTCTCAGAACTAATGAGAAGTGGCTCAACAGAAGGGAGGAAATCAATTTCTTCTTCCAAGAAAGCTACTGCCATGATGCTAACAGAGACTTTGAAAGGCTTCAATCTTTCTTATAACGAAGCTGAAATTGCTACCAACATCAAATATTGATACTCTTTTTACAACTGGGGACCAAGAATTAGGGAATATGGATAGAAAGTTGTTTAGAATACATGACAAACCCAAACAATCGCAATAGCTAAGGAATGACGTGGTGACTTCTACTAGACTGTGAGCAACAACCACATGCAAATAAGATGAGATTGAATGGGTACACACCACAACGGATCCGATACCAGTCAGGATGTCAACCCCGAGGGCTTTCATTGAGTTGGTTAGGTTTCCCCGAATCTTGGTTGCCAGGTTGTTGGCATGGTCTGCAACAGCTTGCCTGTCATATTCAGCGGCTGCTACCTGCATCCAGTTCACAAACATCACTTGTTACAACCGGTTGAAGCTCTTCGTATACTCCAAGTATCTTTAGAATTGAAGCAACAGATAGGGCGAAGAGGAACAACAGGTGAATACCTGGATCCCAAGGGACTTGAGGTGATGCTCGTCATGAAGCTCCCGCATACGTCCACTTACAGCGAGAAGCGCCTTGGACGGAACGCATCCTCTATTAACACATGTACCCCCAACAACGTCTCCCTCGACAATTGCTGTCTTTAAACCCTGTAACCCAATTCACAATGTTCAATTTTAAAAGTCTGGCAAGCGGGGCAGAGAGGGATTTCTAGCTAATTAATTGTACAGGAAGAAGTAGATTAAGCAACAAGATGATAAGCTGAGAGACCAAAGGCCTCTCTCTCCGCGTGCCTCCTCTTGTTACACGTTCAAACCAATGCAGTCATCTCAATGGTTCCTATTTCAAGAATTGGGGTAAAAAGCGATTAATTAACAGCCCTATCAAGAAAAACTATCCAATGCGGCGAGTTTACCCTCTCAACAGCATGGAGCGCAGCGCCATGGCCGCCCACACCAGCGCCGATAATCACAACGTCGTAATCAAAAGACTGCGGAGAGCCATTTGTAGCAGCGGCCTCTACCCTCAACCCCCTGTTCCCCTTCACAACAGCGCCTCTGGATGCAGCAACCACCGCTCCAAGCTCGCAAGCCGGCTTTGACGCGGAGAAACACACATTCTTCTTCAACCCAGCATACGAAATGAGCGCCGGCACACAAGAAGACGACGACGACGACGAAGTGTCTGCAAAGAAACTCTGCAATCTGCTGGCGCCCACCAATCCCCTGGACACTGCGATTGCCTCCATTCTCGTCCCACTTCCTCAACTCCCCGCAAAACCTCGAACAAAATCCAAGCAGCGACTCACAAAAACCAAAAGTCACAGCAACTCAAGTATCGAAGTTAGTTCCTCGAGCAGGCAGGACGGAATGGCAAACAGCTGTGCACGAGGCGAGTGAGAATCGATGCAACCGAGGCGAGCTCAGGCACATCACTCGGGGGAAGCTGAGCAAATCAGGAGTGAGCGAGCTAGTCCACAGGAACCCAGGCCCCCAAGCACGGATTCCGCGAAGTCCTACTACTGCATTGATCACTGCCCAGCCCGTGTATGACAAAAGGGAATTACAGCGATATGGATCAGGTACTTTTTAAGGTGCCGAATCAATGACCTCGCCGCGTGCCGTGTGCACTTCGTAGACATAGTTGAAGCATCCCCACCTCCCCTCGGAGCTAACGAACGTCGTTAGTAACGCTCGCTCGAAGTCGAATCTACCCACCTCCCCCACTCTAGTGGAATTGGTCCACTGATCCGGGATTCTGAGCCCGAATCATCATCCACAGCCCTGATCACTGGAAATGCAGCTTCTTCCCTCCGTTCCGCTACTGTCTGCTCTCCACTCATTGGCATCCATAGCTCGCTCGCTCGCACAGCATCTGTGCACACCTCCTCCTCCTCCTCGACTGGCTTCACTGCTCCACAAGTAAAACATGCAAAGCACCGGAATTCATTGCTTTCATGGGTGTTTTGTTGTGTTGTGTTGTGTTGTTGTGTAGAGTTATGCTTCCTTTTGAAGTATGTTTCGTAGTATTCTTCTACGTTGAAGTGTGTAGTCAGTCAGTTATTCATTCATAAGTTGTCACTGGGTTTCTACCTTCTTTGCATTCATTTCCCTGCGCTTTGCATTGTAACTCTCTCATGGCGTTGTCATGTTGAGACCTGGGTTTTTGTGAGGTTTGATCTCAAAGTCACTGCTGTTTTGTAATGAGTCTGTTCATGGCAATTGTAATGGCATTAGCAAGAGGTTTCTTCGCTGCGCATTCTCGACACAAAATTCCATTATATTTTGGGTATTTTTTATGATGAAATGCTACCGAAGAAAGTCATTTTGCTCTTGTGGTGGGTGGAATTGTGAATCCTGGGCGAGATTTGAAGCATTGGTGGCCGTTAAAATGATGTGCGATTCTGCTTTCTTTCTTTCTTCTTCTTCTGTTTGTGTTTTTTGTTTTTTTTATTTTATTTTTTTAGCTAGGGGAAAAATATTGGTAAAAAAAATATCTGGTGATTTTTTTTACAGGTTCTGTTTGCATCAGGACCTCTCTTCAAGTTTATATTTGTGCAAAATCGTAATCCCTGTGAGAGTAATCTAGGAAGAACTTTTTAGAGAGGTTTGAAGATTTAAAAATAAACAAAAGAACATTGAATATAACACGAAGTTCTTGTATTGTTCATGTCATGATAAATCTATCTCTTTGTTTCTTTGGATCCATTCATAATCCATTCTGAAAGATAGTGTAACCTAAATGTCTTAATTTATGTTAGTTGAATGCATTCTTCTTGAGTTTGACATATATAAATATAAACACACACACTCTCTCTGGTGTTTCTTAAATTGTTTAAGACTAGCAGAAAAAAATAAAAATAAAAAAATAAATAACTAAAAATTTAAATCCAATTTTTTTGTAATTATTAAAACTAATTAAAAATGAATGCATACAAGTTAAATAAATTTAAAATGAAGTCTTCTAATTGTGTCTTTTTTTTTATACAAATAATTTGTAATTTCATCCTTGGACATTTTTTTTTTTTTTTGTTAGATAAAAAAGAAACCTCTTTCATATATATATATATATATATATATATATATATACACATATATTCGTAAATATTGGGTTTTTTTTTTTAAATATAACATAGTTGAAATCTTAAAAACCTAAAGAAAGTTTAAAAAACTTGTAAATTTTTATTTAGAAATGGTACAAGTCAAATAATTTATTAAAAAAGTAGTAAAAAAATTTCTATATTATTTAAACACAATCTACCCATTATGAAATATTTTTTGTACATTCTTTTATTATTATTTTTTGACAGTTGTTGTGATACAAATACACATATCTACTTATTATTTTAAAGCTTTTGATCTAACAAAATATTTTTTTGAACTTTCTGAAACACATTATAATTTTATTGATTTCTTTAGAATTGAAATTGGTTTAAACTTTGATTCACATTCTCTTATTACATACATTTAATGATAATTAAAAACATTGATTAATCATTTCAAAAAAAACAATGTATTCTATGTTCTGATTGTTTCAATTCCGACTAATACAAGAGTTTATTTTTTATTTTTTATTTTTTTTAGTTTGTTTCTCGAAATCAGTTTTTGTACGTTTTATTGAAAATATCTAGTATTGTAAAAAGACATGTATTTTAAGTTAATCATATTTTTGAATTAATTATTATAGATATATTAAATTATAATTAGAACTATAAAGTAATTTAATTGGATAAGAATTTATTAATATTAAATGGAAATAAACTACACTAGTTGTGTTTTATTTCTTTAAGATTTTTTTTCTATAATCAGCTACATATGATATTTTTATATACAATTCTAAAATTTAGTTTATTAAAAAAATTAGATTTTTTTTAAACAAGTTGTATCTCAAATATTTAATGAAATTAAGTTATATATATATATATATATATATATATATATATATAACACAAAAATTTAAAAGTATTATATCTTAATGTGTCTACATAAATTTTAAACACTTTTAGGTATCTTAATCTTATTTTAAACACTTACATTGCAGATCAAATTTCAATGATACTTAAGAATTTGGTTTTTAAGTGCATTATATAATAATATAATTTTTTTTTATAGTTTATGATTTTATAAGTATACATATGTAATATTTTTTAACGACAACATTCGATTAATTCTTTCAATAAACAAGCATAATGTTAAAAACATGAATTAAGAAAAATTTGTTTAAAAAAACATACATATTTAAAATATAAATAAATTATAAATAAATTATATATATGAATGATAAAATGTACTAAATGTAGAAAGTCATAAATCAATATTAAAATTTAAAAATATATATATATATTAACAAGACTAAAGATAGTTTTAATCTTACATCTATTAATACTAGCTAATAATAAAGTTATATGAAAGCATTGTTAAGAATCACAAGGCCTTTAGGTGTCAAGGACAAGAACACAATAAAGACAAATAAACGAGTGAGACTTCTTTCAAAGAAAGATGACAAAATAGAAATAACTTGATATATATATTAAGAAAGAAACTAGAATGGCTATTGCCAAAAAGTCAAGAAAACTAGAGACCTTTGAAACTAGACTGGAAGCAAGAAAGGAGTTGACAAGATGTGTTGACTTTGTAGGACACCTGCTTTACTTACAATGCAAGTTTTTCTACATGTAGGCCACATAGTTAGCTTGGTCTTCAAGTTAACAACATGTGTGGCACATGACCAACTTGTTGACCACGTTTCTAATCCAAAAAGTCAATTAAAGACACCTATGAAGTCAAAGCAGCATCTATGAAGCTTTTAGAAAACTTCCATATCAAATACTATAGAATTAACTTATTTTTACCTACTTTTACTTACTTCTACCTATTTGTATATGTAATTATGAGTATGTCCATGACATTAGGTCAAATATTCAAGTTATAAAATTCTTTTATAATAGTTTCTTAAATATAAAAATCTTTAGATTAAAGTTTTAGATCCATGTGATATATCTTAAAATACCTAAAGATTAAATCTATGTTTAACAAATTATTAAAATATTTATTAAAATTAAAATTATTTGACTCATTAATTTCTATCTACTTCTACTTATTTCTAATTATTAAAGTAACTTTTTTATTTAAAATATAAAATTGATGGAAAATATTAAAAAAATATGAATATCTATCTATCTATCTATCTATCTATCTATATGTAATCTTATTTTATCATTTATAGATTTTTTAATTTAAGATATATTACATGTAATTAATAAAAAGTATATTAATTAAGTTACATTTTTTTTGGCAATGATAATTTTTAACAATAAACTATTCAAAAACTATATTAAAATTTATTTAAATTAACATTATAAAATATATGAATAAAACTTACAACTATTAATACAACATATTTTCTTAGGATTATTAAAAACTTATCAAAGAAAAACATGAATACACTTAAATAAGATATAAGACTTTTTAAATCTACTTGACTATTTGTAATAATGGCTGAACAAGAAGACAAAAGCACCTTAAAGCACTCCAACTACATCATGTCAATGACATCTACATAGTGATCTAGTATATTATAATAAAAAATTGACCTTTCCACATAATAAAATAAAAACATGCTTGCAGGTTGGATACACACAAACATTCACTTTCAAGAGCGACATTTTGATCGATTCTTTAGCAAGCATGTAGGAATTCACACTCCTTTTCTATGAAGGAAACCTTCCTCACCTCAAATGTTAGTGTGGTAAAATTGTGAAACATTCATATAAAACTTAGCCCATGTCTTGAAAAAATATATGTGATACCACATATGGCAAGTAACTCTGAAAATTGTTGCACAAAACAAAGCCATTGCAAGGTTTAGTAAAACAGTCATCCACCACAAAAATGCACGGGATTTCTTCATGTGTGTGCACCGACTTCATGCCGCCGGGTTGACATTGCCAATGTAGTTGTATCTTCTGTGAGGAATCCCACTCTCTCGCTGCACTTCTCGCTTGAGCGAGCAGTGCAAGTAGTGCTATTAGTTTCACTTGTGGATCAGGTCATACAATTTCTAGACATCTTTATCAGCGGCGAGATCAAAAGTATAGTGGCGAGACAGGTCCATCCAGTCGCAACCAGTTGGAATCAGACCAGTCAATTTAGATTACACAAACACTAGCCATTCGAATTTGTGATACTAGTTCCACGTCTATTTTTTGGTCGCGGTCTTGGCCTTTTTTTTGCACAAGAGCCAAAGATGGATCACTCTATTGACAAAACATTGTATCAACCAGAATCCTAGTGTTTGTTGTTGAACATCGCCCCTGTGTTTGACTGCACGTTTTCTACACAGGGAACGTAGACATATTATTGACTTATATTGCTGCTCGAGCAAACTAATCCAGTTGGTTTTGTTGAGCCTGTATGGGCTGATCTTGCATTTCCTAGTGGTTATCTTCGACGTTTACCTTGTGTTGCTTATGTTATTCTGTGGTCATCATGGCATAAGAGCGGGAATCGAGTAAGTAGAAATAGTGACTGAGTTTAGTATTGAATAGTACACTAGAACCGTAGAAGCTTTCTGAGAGTTGGCGCACAACGAGGATCAATGGATTCAATTGTTGCAGCAAACAAAATGCTTGCA